AGTACAACTTCAATGATTTTTCGTGCTCAGAGGAATGCATGAAAAAATCTTAAAATTGGAGTGCTCGTACATTTTGTTGTGAGCTTTCCAGGAAAAATATTAAAAATAAAAATAATAAAAATCATTTCAACTGTGAAAGAGATCGCGGCCGCAATTTGACACATATTCCATTTTTGCTATTCAATCTCTCTCTCTCTCTCTCTCTCTCTCTCTCTCTCTCTCTCTCTCTCTCTCTCTCTCTCTCTCTCTGTGGTACCCCCCCCCCCCCNTCTCTCTCTCTCTCTCTCTCTCTCTCTCTCTCTCTCTCTCTCTCTCTGTGGTAGGCCCCCCCCCTCCCTCTCTCTGGCCCCGTACTGTACAGGTGAGCGCACATGGGGCCTCACGTGCCTCTGACAAAAACTGGGAATGAGCCTTTTTCCACTAAAGTATGGAAATCATGTAAGCCGGCAAAGAACGAACCGTTCCCAATGTTGGAAATCTGTTCTTTTATTTTCCCTCTTGGTCCCTGCCGCGTCTGCGGCGGGCATCCGCTTTTCATTGTAGCAAGCGGATGCCCGCCGCAACCGTGGCGGGGCAATGAGAATGAATCTTCCGGTAGACTGGATTTGTAGAGCGGCGGAGCGAGGCCCAAGACACATGGCAATTTTTTTAATTTTTTTTCCCGTCATTGCACCGCCCCAATTTTAACGGATGTCCCGGAGGAGGGGATGCCCTTTTTTTTTTTTTTTTTTTTTTGTTAAAAGCCCTTGTGCAAGGCCTCTATTCCGGTGGTAGTAAGAGAACCTGCGGAATTGAGGCTTTGCCTGACGGCCTTCTCCATCTATTGGTGGGGAGCATCACCTGCTGGAAACCGGGCCCAGCGTCCCTTTGATACATCATTTCTTTTCTGTGAAGGAAGAACCAGTACCAAACTTTGATCAATGTAGAGAACGTATTCCTGCCAGCATTTATTACCCCGGACTCCAGTGGATTGACTGAGCAGTACAGGAGGCACCTGGGAAGAAGAACAGGGGAAGGGAAGCCTCTTCAGTCCATGAGGACCGCCAGATAGACCTTACCATTGCATTTCTACCATACCAATCTCAGACGGAGGGAAAGGGTCTGAAAAACAAATTGGAGATCTGAGAAAGGCTCCTGGATAAAGTTTGAACCAATCTCGAAAGATGAGATGGAAGTCTTTTTTCAGAGACACTCCTCTCTCTTCTTCCCCTGGCCATTTCACCTCACCCAAGCCCCTCCCTGCAGCGCCCCCCAGCCAGTCCAGGTTAAATTTTTGAACAATTTGTTGGATGTATTTTGCAGCGTAGCTTTAATTCCAGTCCACTTTGCTCTGATTTCCGTTTGTATAAATTGAATTATTGAACAATAAGATCTTGTATCTCATGGCCATCTAGGCTCACCTTCTCATGTTCTCTAACACACCTTTTATACCATAAAACCCATAGTATTGCTTTACGGCCAATTTTGAAAAAAATATTTTGAAAGTTTGGTATACTGAGATCTAAGGGTTCCCAATACCCCAGCAAAATATTCTTCCATTCCCAGGGGCAGTCTATACCTGTTAGCCTGTGTTAGGTGTCTCCAAGTACAATCCAATCTTCTCCATAAAAGGACTGAAGCTGGGCATCGCATGAATATGTGTTCGATGGTTTCCCTGGCTTTTTTACTAGGAAAAGCGGACAGAMAAAAAAAAAAAAAAAAAAAAAAAAACCAAAAAAACCCCAAAAAAAAAACGGACAGACAGGTTGTACACCATGGTAATGTCAAACCCTGCTGTTATAATGATGAGTGATCAATCAGCCAGTCGTTGGTGGGCAGGCAGTGGTGAGCTATCTGCCATTGCAAAGCTCCAAATTTTGCCGGTCTTTGTTTAATGTTTTTGAAGAATTTTATAGGTTTGAGCAAGTTTATGTCAACATTGAGGTGCCTTGCCCACCGTTCTTGCAGTACAGCTGTAATATTCAGCTTAGGGCGGATCATGCAGTATACCGCTTTGACCGACATATTTTGCAAGGTACGTGGCTTACCTATCCTGTTGGTCTTCCATATCCACTCCTCTGGGTCTAGTGGGAGATCTGGGATAGGTAGTTGAGGATTATAAGCCTGCCAACCCTGGCGTAAGCAATTCTGAATTGCAGCACTTGTCGTATCTCCTTCATCTGCTTCTTGTGGGGTTTGAACTGCAGCCTGTAGCAGAGGATTCAGAGGCTTGCTCCACTGCACTCAACACGCACAAAAGACAAAAAATATGGCCGTGGCTTGCTCCACGGCTCTCCACATGCACAAAAGACAAAAAAAATTATGGCGGTGTATCTTTCCACGATCTAGCGGGAGATGCATTCTTAGTGGAGGGAGGCCCTCAGGGGAACGACCAAAAGGAGAAAACGCGTGTTGCTTTTGGGAGAAGACAGGGAAAAGGGCCTCGCCCCACTACTCTCGACATGCACAAAAGACAAAATAGGGAGGTGTATCTTTCCAGTATGTAGCGGAAGATTCATTCTCCCTCCACTACTCTCCACATGCACAAAAGACGAAAAATATGGCGATGGCCTGTGCACCTAGCTCAGCTGGTAAGGCACAGAAGTTGCATTCAGAAGGTCGAGAGTTCAATCCCCATTCATTCTCCCCCCTCCACTACTCTATGCATGCACAAAAGACAAAAAATATGGCAGTGGCCTGCGGGCCTAGCTCAGTTGGTAAGGCACAGAAGTTGCATTCAGGACGTTGTGGGTTCAATCCCCATTCGCCTCACATACGTGCCTGGGCAAGCTTGGTGTTCTACCAGCTAGAGATAACCCGCTGGCCCTCCAAGCCAGCATTGGCAGGACCTTGGCCAATGCTATTGGTTGCTATGTAGCAATGATATTGGCCATTAGACACCGCTCATGTGGGGCTGGAGGGGGGTAGGGGGAGGTGCCAGTGACTGGCCAAAGATGCTCGGTTCCCCCCGTCGGGAATCCCTGATCGCCCCGCATCATCGTGATGAGGGGCTGATACAAGTCTTGCTCTCGCACCACTGCTGTGGTGCCAACCTACCCCGTGGGCTGGGGAGAGTTCCAGGTTTGGTTGGGTGGTGGTCCCCCCCTACTATACATAGTACTGAGAGGATGAGATAGATGAGGAAAATATATACAAAGAAGATTGAGAGAAGAATATAGATTAGTTTAAATAAATAAATAAAAAATGGCGATGTATCTTTCCAGGCTGTAGCGGAAGATTCATTCTCGTTTTGCACATTTCGAGAGCAGTGGAGCGAGGCCCAAAGAAACGCGCGTTGCCTGGCATTCCTCCTGCGCAAGGATGACACATGTAACCCACGAGATGGTCCCAAAGAAAAAAGAAAACAAAAACGAAGATGACAAACCCAAAATAGAAAACAAAAACGACGCTAGACTTAACACCTAGCATGTATCTTGCCCCGTTCCGCCTCCAGATTCAGGCGAGGTGGAAAGTGACGTCCATCAGGCCACGGAGCAGCTGCTATGAACTTGTATTCGAACACACTCGACCCTGCCCGCGCCCCTTTTTTGCCCTGCCCCTGGGCCCGCCGTTTTGGCCCCGACGGTTGAGTTCCCAGCACTGCAAGCGGAGTCTTGCGTGGGATGATCACGTGAGGCCTGCTATTTCCTTTCTTTAAGAGTACTGGGGAAGAAGAAGTTGGAGAAGAAAAAGGAGGTTGGAGATGTGGTGATGTGAAGGGGCATTGGCATTGGTCTTTGCAGGTGTTCATTATGTCCTTCTACCATTCTTGGTTCTTATTCTTCCATTGTCTATTTCTCTTTCCAAGTTCTTTCATTTCAGTTGCAATTGAATGGCATGGTCTTTCAGACTCTTTCTTTGACTTGACTTGTTGCACTGCAAGATAGCCAGGATCATAAGATTCATAACACCTGCTTGAATAAACACCCTATACACTGACTGGGCATACAGTTGCCACGTGGATCGAATGCCATAACTATCCCCCACAAGGCCACCCGCCCAAGCCACGTGGCTATACTGGCTGTTGTCAGTGGCCAAGCCCCTAGCATTATTGTCACGATCCGAGCTGATGACCTGTTGATTAACAGTTATATGTGCGTACCATTCAGCCAAATTGGCTGGCTCTTTTTCCCCACTGCTATAACCTGAAACACCTTCTGGGTACCGATTTGACAGAAAGGCCCAGCGTGCATAACCTCTTAAGGTCTTAACCCTCGCTCATTCTTCGCAGCCACGGCAGCATCTGGACTCGGACTGCGCCCAACCAAAGCTACCAAAGAGAATGTCACAACGCCTTGTGTTTTGGCCTTTTCGTACTTTCCCTTGATTGTCAAACCACCAGTACTTCCGAGGCACTTTTATCCGATGGTGGAAACACTTTGCGTGCCAAAGAAAGCCAAACCCGTGCAACTTTCTTTTGGCTGACGCCGCCAGCCATTTTGCTCCTCCCCCTAGGTGGCTCTTTGTGGCAGCATCCTCCAGTAAACCGCTGACAAAAAAAAAAGAAAAAAGAAAAAAAAAAAAGAAAAAAAAAAAGAAAAGAAAAGAAAGAAAGAACGAAAGAAAGAAAAGGACGGCGAAAGTAAAAAAAATTGGGGTTTCTGGAAATATGTGACAAACTGTTTCATCGAATTTCCACCGACTCATTGGGGGCCTGGACCTGTAGCAGTCTGGAAGATCAGCCTACCGACGACCCAAGCCATAATCTGCCCGTGACCCGACACAAAAGTGGGCTATACCCACCCACACCAGATGCAAGACTCCACAGACTGTTGCTTCACATCACCCTCAGAAGGCGGGAAAACCCCCATTGAAACAAAGAATAGGTTTATCACGAGAAGAACATACACTCCCAGGCACACTGCCATTATCAATGGACAGTTATTATGAACACATAGCTATTAACTGCTATACACACTGCCATTATCAATGGACAGCTATTATGAACACATAGCTATTAACTGCTATATATACATCACTCACTCCAGCATTTGGCCACATCACCAGGTAGGCTGGGGCAATTTGGATATGCACATTTACTTACATGTGCCTAATACTGCACATATGTAAGATATACGTTTATCCCTTCTTCTGCCTATGTTTATGTGACATACATGCAAGTGCGTAAGTGCCTGTATATATATATATATATATATATATATATATATATATGACGATATATATGTATATATAAGTGCCTGTATATATATCGTCAAATAGTGTATATATAAGTGCCTGTATATATATATATGTATATGTATGTATATATCTATATACCCCTCTCCTCCTATGGTTCACCAGGCAGTTCTCTATGACAATATCTATCTATCTATCTGTCTATCTATCCATCTATCTATCTATCTATCTATCTATCTATCTATCTATCTATCTATGCACACATGTAACATGTATGTAATATGTATATGTGTAAGCAAATACATGGAACCTTAAAATAGGGAATCTAAATAAAACCTGCTTGATCTCTCCTCTTGAATACCAACTAGCTGCGCATGTACCCCGCCAGGGGTCTGCAACAGCCGTGCTTTGATGCCATGATACCTCATCTTCATATAGTTTTGCCTCCTGCCATCTCAGTCGAAGAACTCGTCGTCAGCTGTTCTCAGTCGTGAAGCGAGAGTGCAGGTTCCATGTCCCAAGACCAATCCCGTCAAGACGAAGTGTTTTCGTGTGCCAAGCTTCCATTCGGCTCCGGTGCGATATGCTGACAAACGAGATCCCAAGTCTCATGAGATGGCGATATATTTTCTCCTGCAGCCACATGCCCATAAGCAAAGCAGAAAGTTGTTGAAAGCAGAAAGTTGTTGACATCAGCATAAAATAATGTGGCTGTTACGATGCTGGCCAATTCCGAATTGCAAAATTCATGAGAAAGCACAATGCCGTCCAGTTGCAAAGGAAATGAATGAACTTGAGGGGAGGGAGAGATAAAGAGAAGAAGAAGAAGAAAGAAAGAAGAAGAAGAAGAAGAAGAAGAAGAAGAAGAAGAAGAAGAAGAAGAAGAAGAAGAAGAAGAAGAAGAAGAAGAAGATGTACACCAGCAAAAGACCAATGATATCCCCTCCTCCTCTCGCCAATCAACTCCTCCTCCTTGCCGCCTCCACTCTTATTCAAACAATAAATAATAATAATAATAATGATGAATGGCTGAACCAGAGTCAAATGTCCGGATCCCACTTCTACTGCTTGGCAGAACTAGAGGCCCACCATAGCCATGGCCTCCTTCTTCCTCTTCAATTAGGCCGAGGCTATGGTGGACTACTAAGGGCCTGGCCCTCCTGTGCAAAAGATAACGCAAAGCAGCTATGTCCGCTGCTGTTCAGACCGCCATGCCTGACTCTGCCTTGAAGCCTTCTTGGTGTGGCGCAACCCCACTGGGGCCTTCCAGATGCAGCGCCTAACAAGGTGGTGAAGATGGGGTACGTACCTCGCCACTCTCCTCCCTAGTCTCCTTCTTCCTCCTCCTCCTACCGGTAGAGCTCCATCATAGCCGAGGTGGAAGCTCCCAGCCTTATTCTTCCTCCTCCCAGCACTCTTCCTCCCAGCGCCCGCTCAACCAGCATGACGCCCAACCTTGCATACCACAAATGAGGTAGCGCTCTCCCCGAAGCTATATAGCAGCCTACCTGCCTCTTGGGCGGTGACTTCCAGGCCGCGCGGCCTCCAAGCAACCGGTACCTTCTCCCTTTCGGAGGGAAACATCATTGCAGGCTCTGATATCGTCCGCACAGGCCCTAGACTCAGGCTACTTGGACTGGTACCCGCCTAGACCTAGCCTACCAGCTACTGGGACTCTAAAAGTACCACAACTTTTGTCTTCTTCTGCTCGGCCTCCATTCCCCCACACATCCACCACTACTTGAGTGGTACCGGCCTACCTGCTACCTGAGTGTTTTCCCCCACTGCTCTAAGCGTCGCGGGCCTACTCCCGCTACTCGAGTGTTTTCCCCGCTGCAACCCTCAAAGTCACGGCCACAGGTAAGTACCGGCCCCCTTGGGCCTTCCAATAAACAAGTGCCCTGGCGGGCCGCACACACACTCAGACCGATAAGCACTCAGGCAGGCACACAACCAGCAAGCACGCACACACACACACAGACTTAGAAAACTCAGCAGAACCTGGGAATCTCAGCAAGGCATTCATTCCAGCGGCAAAAATCGGAAATCGGCCGTATTACATGGCACAAAATGGCGCAGTAAAAGCAGACAATAACAGAGCAATACGGACAAGTGCCTAGGGCCCTAGGGGCCACGAGCAGGGAAAGGAGGCCAGGGAACAAAGGGGCAAACAAAACATAAAAAAACAAAGCAAGACTGGCAATTGAACAGCTTTCTATGTGCTGGCGAGGGAGCACAGCGCCCCCTCTTTTTTGACAACTTTAAGAACTCCAATGATTTGAGCTTTCAGCCTTTCAGACCAAGAGCTACTGCCCAATGTGACACCTTCAGGATGACCCTTTTTGTTAAAAAAAAACGTTTTTACTACCAAGGCTGGGAAACCGGGCCCAGCGTCCCTTACGACAAATACACACCATATGCTTCCCTTTATTGTGGCCAAGGGACCCCGAGACAGCGGCATTGATCACTTGCTTGGAGGGACGTACCACCCCTCAGCCCCTGTGTCTGCCTCCTTCTCTGCCTATCACTATTGGAACTCAAACCCCTGGTCATCATAACAACAGCTTTACCAAAAAAACCGTGGTTGTGTCTACTCATCTAGATGGACCCCCTCAGTTCAATACTGCGAACTTCCAGGAATAACTGCAAGAAAAAACTTCCAGGAATAACTGCAAGAAAAACTATGTTCATCGAGACTATGCCCATTCACTAATAACTGCAAGAAAAACTAGGTTCATCGAGACTACGTCCATTCACTATCTTTTTATCCAAAAATCTGTGGCCGTCCTAGTTCAGTTGACTAGACAGTCGCTTCCCCAATCTCTTCTTTCTGCCTCTCTGGAGTTGATCCTGAAGTCCCTCTAAAGAGAAGGGGTTTTCCCAACTTTTCCTTTTATCTCTGCTATTTTTCGTTCATATAGCCAAATATCTTCCGAGCTTTTCTTTTGGCTAATTATTCTGGTGGATTCACTAAGGGTCATAACGTTGTCTAGAATGAGCCTACCTGGAATGAACCCCGTCTGATCTAGGCGGAAGCAACTTCCAGTGAGGGGGTTCAATAACTTCAATCCTAATATTCTACTATTTGAGTCTATTTCTCTTATTGTCTTGTCGGAGGCCTAGTCTTTGGCTCTCGCCCTAATCTGTAGCTCTTGGAACTTCCATCTTGCCCATTGGGCAAATTCCATAACCCTTCATAAATCATGACGAAAAATTGGGGTTCCTATCTTCTGGTTCTCGTCCTCTTGTCTCCTTGTCTGCCCTCCCCAAGTCTCCTCGCTCTTCATCTCTTCTCTTCCCTCCTCTGGGAATGCCATCTTTGATCAGGTTGGGTGTTCAGCAAATCGGAGTTGCTACCATCTTCACCCCAATAGAATGCCCAGTCATTATAACTGTATTTGGAGCACGGTTTGGTCTGGATGCCTTGATAATGACAGGGCTTTCTTTTCTATTCAGGTGGAGATGGTAGGAAGACACCGATGTCAAGCTCATTCGCTCCCCTGTTGGAACCCGTATGCACTTGACACTGGGCGTGGGATGAGAGACGTTAAAGGAGAAAGATCAAGGGTGTGAGATGCAATATTCTTACTTCCATTTCCTCGCCAAGGGCACTTGTTGCTTCGTCCAGCACGACCAGCTGTGGCATATGGAAAAATACTCTTGCGATCGATAGACGCTGCTGTTCACCAAGGGACACTGCATTCCTCCAGTCAATCTGTGCCTGCAATAACACATAGCCAAGACAGAATGTCAGATTGTCCGAGTCAATACACAGGTGACCGCTCGGCAATAGTCTATTTGTTGGGCGGGCATGCAATTCTCGCAGCTGCGCGATTCGCTGTAAGAATCAGGGGGATTTTCTCTTCTGGCTGAGATATCCAATCCGGAAATTTCTTGACTATTGCATCAAGAAATAATCCTCAATTCAATAATCAAAGCATCTTTGTTGCATACTAGTGAAAGTGAACACAAGTATGATGCAGAACCCAGAATCGATCAACAACAAAGAGCAATACAATGCAGCGGAAGACTTGAAACATGGATCTGAACTCACATCTGACTCGGGCTATACTCGGCTCACACACGTACATTTATCGGGTGAGAAGGCCTGGCGCCCAAGCATGGAAGACGGCGCCAGTGGCTGCACACAACACGCACAGACGAATGTAGAGGGGGAGGAAGAGACGAAGGGAGGAGGAGGAGATGACGCCAACACGAAGTCATCGAAGTAGTAATAGCCCGAAATGTCGAAGATACAGAATCTCGAAATGTCGAAGTTACAGAATCTCGAAATGTCGAAGTTACAGAATCTCGAAATGTCGCTGGTGTCTGATCTCCAAATAGTCCTCCCAACGCCCTACTCTGGAATAGTCCCAGTCCTGATGTCACCGATATCCCACCATCGATCTCTGTCCATTAGTAACCGAGAAGGTAGAAGGTTAGGAGAAGATGAAGATGGAGAAGAAGAAGAAGAAGAAGAAGAAGAAGAAGAAGAAGAAGAAGAAGAAGAAGAAGAACCGAGAGGGGCAGAGGAGAAGGTGGAGATGGAGAGGTGGGGCGGAGGAAGATCCTCCTGCCCTGATCCAGTGCCCAGGGACCAACCTGCGGATGCAAGGTGCCGCCTTGGAGCTGCTGAAGACTTGCCCTCGCCGCTGGAGCTATGGCGCTCACAGGTAGGTAGCAGGTAAGTCTCTTCTCTCTCGCTCTCTCCTCTGCAGCTAGCGCTATGCCTAGCGCTCTGCCTGGAGCTGCGCTAATCCCAAAATAGCGCAGCGCTGCTCCTCAATGCCGCGGTCTCCAGTCTCTCCCGAACAGACCGCTGGCCGGTACCAAGTACCGGCGGTGGCCTGTTCGGCCTGGCTGCTGATGAAGCCACGCCGTGATCTAAACCTTCAAACCGATTTGCGGTTCAGATCGGACCCGCGGGGAAGTGGCAGCCTCAAACTTCGGCCGCCAGGCTCAAACAAAACATGTTTGAGCCGGTTTCCCGCTCAGGGCCTGCAGTAGCAGACCCGGGTCTAAAACCGGTCGCTGGAGGCCTGCCGTCGGCCTTTCGGTCTGGCCTTTAACCCAGGCCTGACTGGCCCAGCATGGCCACGGTCTGGGATAACCCCCTAGACCTAGCCGTCGGGCCTCACAGGGCCCGTGTGGAATCCAGTATGTAACAATCTTAGTCAAAGGGCATACAAGTACAAATGCTAACGTTGTCACAACTTTGTCCTCCTTTCCTGAAACTCAAATTTCACGTGTATCCTTCATATCATCCTAGCCTCGAATCGTCTGCCCCTCCCCATCCATCTGCCCTCGTGGACACATTACATCAAAACAAGCTGGTGTGTGAGTTGCTGCAGAATTTGTATGAGTGAGCACAGAGATGTACATGGACTTGATTATACATGCTGACAAGTCTAGTTCTCGACAGCACCTGTTGACAAATATAGTCCTCGACAGCACAGGAATGCTATACTCACCTCCCAATCACCTCCAACTCTCTGAAGGAGATAGCCGAGATCCACCATTTCCAGAACCTTGCGGAGCTTTGCTGGCCATTCAGGATGCTCGTGGATAGCCGTCCACCCTCGTTGAAAAGTCTGCGGAACTCGCCTTCTGTCCCGTTTCCCATGGGCCCATTCTCGAGTCCAACATCGAGAACCTGAAAAGCTGGAGGAGACAGTTGGTCTCCTGCTCCCTCCCAATTGTGTTGTAGTGTCTCCACCACCATCACCGCCACCACCTCCGTCGTCCTTGCCATAACTGGGGTTCCACTGGATGACTTGCTCTTTGAGAAGAAAAGGTTGATATTCATCGCAGAATCTGTCGTCGTCTTCTTGCTGACCTGTAGCAACTCTGCTTGGGCCCTTGCCTTGGCACCTCAGTTCAAAGTCTGTGGTTTCACTTAAAGCTGCGCCCAGATCACCTCTGTCGACAGGGAGAAGTGGATAAATCAGCTGCGCAAGAAGTCCTCCCCTGGCCATAAGTGGGGTTTGAGTAAGGACGATGACATTGGGAGCTTGAGTCTCCCTTTTGTTCCACTCTACCATCTTCACTGATCCTGTACAGGAATACCACCAATTTGGAAAGTCAGTGCCAGATCTGAGAGGATTTCTAGAAGACGGCAAGCTGACAGTCAATCCTCTCCCTGGAAGTGGGGTAATCAATGCTGCTCAGGGGTCCTTTGGCCGGATGGAAGGAAGCGTGGGTTTTCAGAGCAAAATTCATTAACGAGGAGGTCATACCAGGTCCCGGAACCTATCTAGGTGCGGCAAACACGAATGAGACATTGAGCGGTTATTTGTACCCGTCATACAGGCAGTTTTGTAGTAGGTCAGGTTGTGCGCATGTCAGTTGCGAACATTTTTCGAATAACTTTGCTATAACTTGTAATAGTCAATTTTCATTTATGTATCTTTTGACCTTCCGGTGGAAAGGGAGCCGGACTGATGTTCCCCAGAATGGACATGGAGCCAGGACCATTAAAAAAAAAGAAAAAAAGAAAAAAAACACTGTTGAATATGGCAGGTTGCAGGTTCGAGTCCTGCAGTGAGCAATTGGGGCCTTGAAGCTTGCTTGGAAGGTTGGAAAAAAGAAATAAAAAACTGTCCTACATTTGGATGATTTGGACAGCAGTCAGCAAGAAAGTGAATAAACCCTCTTGAATGTGTTTTTTTTTTTTTTTTTTTACACACTAAATTTGGATAATTTGGCATCAAGGGTCAAGCAAGAAAGTGAATGAACATTCAATCCTGTTTTCTTCTTTTTCCTGATTTTTCATTTAAAATTTTGGACCATTTCTGGAATCGGGATTCATGCGTATCATCCTTGCGCAGGAGCCATGCTAGTCTTCTCTGTACCGCTCCAATTGTAACAGATGTGCCGAAGGACATTCTATCCTGTTTAATGAACTCGCGCATCTGTTTTCAAATTTGGGAAGTTTTGGATAGCAGGCAAGAAAGTGAATACAGATTCTGTTCAATTCTTCGTAAGGTGTGCATCAAAGGGAAAACAAAAGGTGTGCGATGTGCATCAAACTTGATCTGTGCAATGATGCTCATAAGAGCAAGTAGCTGATCCAGATTGCCCGTGATGATGATGAAACTCAATAATATGTATTTGCTACCAACCGGGCTGCACGGGCCACCTTGGGCCACCTTGGGCTGCCTGGGTGGCCTGACCGGGCAAGGCCAGACAAGTTGCCAGCCAAAAAAAAAAAAAAAAAAAAAAGAGGATTCAGAAAAATGGTTAAAAAATATGAAAACCTCTATGCAATGCAGAATGATAAACTAAACAACTTTTGTCCCAGGGTCACACCGAAATTCTTTACCAAATTGAAAAATAAAATACATAATTAAGAACATGGCTATGCCGGACCCGAACGCCGGACCAATTCAGCAGCCTAGCTCAGTTGGTAAGGCACACAAGTGGCATTCAGGAAGTCTTGGCTTCAATCCCCATTGGCCTCATGTACCTTCCTGGGCAAGCGCGCCGCCCGCCACCTCGAGATAGGCAATTGGTCCCCCCAAGCGGCATTGAGCAGTGACTGCTCACATTCGTAGGGGGAGGGGAGGCACAGCGACTGGCCCATCGAAGAAGCTTGGTCCTGATGCTACCGGCTGACCCCTGGCGGGTATCGCCCACGTGCTATAGCAGGTATCACATCTGCTGGTGGGTGCATCTCCTGCATGTTCCCTCGTTGGAGGCTTGAGCATGGGTGTGGCTGCTATGGGGTTCCCCATAATACTATAAAGACAGTAAAAAAGGCCTGAAAGGCCATCCTGTCCAGATTCGACAGGTAATTGAATTGGTTGGGCTTAAACCACCAGTACCTACCGGTTGTCAAGGCCCGTGGCTCAGGCTACCGGTAACCCGGTCATTGCCGAGCCTCGGGCTTTATTGCCGAGCCTTGGACAACCGGTAGTACACAACGGG